GTTTGATATTTGTCGTGGGTTTGGTTGTGATTGTATTATGAAAGTTTATTAAATTTAGCTTAATATTGATATTGCTACAAGTTTTTTAAAATTAATGTTACTAAATTTAGTTTAAAATTGATAATTTTACATGATGTTTAAAAATTGTGTCAAATTAGAATAGTTGATTGGTGTCTGTCAAATGCAGGGCTAGTAGAGTAATTTTAAACTTTGTGTGGCAGTTGTCAGGTGTATGTGATGACTGAATAAATGATCTTTGATAGACATGTGATTGTTGAATGATCGTTGATGTACATGTGATGACTGAATGATTTTTATGTGAGTTTATTCTCTGTAAGTCCAGTGATATCTCTAGACTCCTGTAAGTATTTTGTTTATAGCTAAGAGAGCTGGATTGTAAACAAATACCAGCCGAAACAATTGAAATTGATAGCGAACAATCGAATGTGAAATATATTTGACAGAATGTGAAATATAATTGGCAGAATATGAAATATAACAGACAGAATGTGAAATATAACTTGGAGAATTTGAAATATAGCTTACGTAATGTGAAATATTACTGAGAGAATGTGAAATATAAGTGGGAGAATTTGAAATATAACAGAGAATGTGAAATATAACGGACAGAATGTGAAATATAACAGGGAGAATGTGTGAAAACATAACAGAGAATCTAAAATACAACGGTGAGGAATATGAAATAATAGCAATGACACACCGTTTAAAATGTCTACATTTAAAGTTCACCAAAATAATGACGTAAAATCTAAATATGATATGACGTTAGCATACATATCATTCAACCTAATCACTCTAAAGTACAAATCAATAATTTTTATTGATTAAGGGGCTGGGTGAGTTATTTTTATCACTATTCGCCCTTCCCCTTCCCTTTGTCCGCAACCCCGTTCCCCTTCTCCCATCCAACCTTGCGTCATCACACTAACCTGTAGGTCGTCTACAGGAAAAATAGTGGTGTGTGAATTAACGTTACTGTCGTTGTTAGTCTTTACGCGTTTGTTGTTTGCTATGTCGTCATACATCGTATGTCGCTTTAATGGAATAGTGTTGGTCATGGTACGAGTTGTTTGGATCGCTGCTAGGGGTTGCATGGTTTGTCTGTCGGTCACGTATAGTGGTTGTGGAGTTTGTCTATCGGTTGCTGATGGGGTGTCGGTCGGTGATGTTTGGTTGGTGTGTGTTGTTTTACAATGTCTTGTTAAATTGTCAAGTCGTGTAAATAGATTCCCGCATGTTGTACAGAGATGTCCTTGTCGGCGGTGAACAGAGTCGTGATGTCTTGTCAAACCGTCTTTGCGGGTGAACACACGGTTGCATATGTCACACTTGTTACGGCTCATGGCTGGATGGGTGGTAGACTGGGCGGTTTGCATTATTGACGAAGTGTCTAGTAGTTGGATGACTGGGTAGGTCACTGGCTGTAGAATAAAAATAAATACATAAAATAAAATGCATGAAACAAAAATCATACTTAAAACAAATTTAAAAATGAACGTACCTATGGGTTTGAACGCGTAAGCTGAACGTGAAGTTAGCTGTGTGTGGAGATCCGAAATGGTGTAGTTGGATGTAGCTGGAACGTTTGGTTCAGTGGGTGCCTCAGGGATGGGTAGGTAGCTCAATAGGTTCGGTCGATGGTTAGTCTGTCTCGTAGGGTCGGTTGTACACTAAAAGGAATACATATGAATACTTATTTAGATACTTATTTATTTAAAGGGTATTTTAATGGGGTTAGCTCCCTTAAAACAAAAAGTAATATTAACCTTACCTTTAATAGAATAAACACGCACAAAAGATGTGGTCCGTATAGGGTTAGGTGGATGTGATGGTTGGTAAAGCTGGCGTGGGTTTAGTCTCAGGAGTCAACAGAGGTCGCAGGCTGGATAAGTCGCGGTGACGCTTGATTTGAAGTCCGAAGTTGAAGTGATTAGAACACAATTTTCGCGGTCATTTATCCGGTTGAACGGCCTAATTACAGCACCAGCTGTCGCACAACAGCTGTTGCATAATGACCTAAGTGCTTCGCGGAAAGCTACTTAATGTATGTCGTTAATTACCATAACCCGTCAACCGAGCGGGGGTAACTCGGTGAAGCATAACAAAAAAAAATTTAATTAGGTGGGACATCATGCTGTGATGGGCCAGCGGCTGCGATCAATACATTCCCATTAAAACGGGCAGCGGTGAGAAAACTTCGCGGGCGGGTCGATACGTAACAGCTGTGGCTGATCGTTATCTTTAATGGATGTTATTCACAAAGTACACGGCTAGTGTTAGTCTTTTATTTAAAACATACATACATTCAAACAAACCAACAAATTAAACAACAAAGAAAAGAAATATATCAAAGTAATTAAATTAAACAAAAGTAATTAAAATCAAATTACGTAACTAGTTAATAATAATTTAACTAATTATAAAATAAAATAAAATTAAAAAATAAACAAGATAAAAAATAATTAAAAAGTAAACAAATAAGCAAATTACGTAACTCGTTAATAAAAATTAATAAAAATAAGAAATTAAAATTACAAAATTTGAAAAAATTTAAAAAATTAAAATCCAATTACGTAACTCGTTAATAAAAATTACACACTATAAACAAAGTAATTAAATTAAACAACAAGTAAACAAACAAATTAAACAAAATAAAAATACAATCAAAGTAATTAAATTACGTAACTAGGTCAAAAATTAATTAAAATTTTAAAAACTCATTAAATCTAGTTAAAAAAACGCATTAAAATTACGTAACTAGGTCAGTGATGACGTCACAAAGTCACTAATTACGTCACAAGGTCAATGATTACGTCACAAGGTCACCAAAAGGTGACCCACCCTTCACTCCTCCGCCACCCTAGGGTGGGGAGTATTTTACTATATGTCATTGTACATCCACCCTTCGCTCCTCACCCAGCCTCTGCGCCAGGCTGGGAGTATTTTACTATATCTCATTGTACCTACGGCTCCTGCGCCAACCCCAGTTGGCGTAGTATTTTACTATATCTCGTTGTCCCTTCACCCTTCGCTCCTCACCCTGCGATGCGCCAGGCTGGGAGTATTTTACTATATGTCATTGTCCCTTCACCCTTCGCTCCTCCCGAATATTTTACTATATGTCATTGCTCCTCACCCTGCGCTCCTCCGCCAAAAATGCGGTCCAAAAGCGACCTAATATACTACTTATATATTGATATTCTAGTTTTGATGAATCCGAATTCTGAGGATCTATCTATATACTTCTAAAATTCAGATTGTTTACAAGTTGGTATTTATAATTTTAATTTTTGCTTGTTTGTCGTTATTGCAGTCAAGCGGTTCTAATTCATTATTATTAGTTTAACGTTAGCTTTAATAGTTTATTCATTAGTTATTCATATTAGGTTTGAGTTCAGAAAATATGATAAAAAGAAATCAATGTTTTTAAAAGACAAAAACGTGTACGTTGAAGTGTGATTTCTTTTAGATGTGTATAGTGAAGCTGTCTTTTGGTGCAGGTGAGGTAGAGTTCATCTCTTTCTGTGACCTCAGCATATGAAGGGATAGTATGGTCAGCATTATGCTCAGCCTAAATCGGTTTTGAAAAGACAAAAATATGTTGGCTGAGGTGTGAACTTTCTACTTGTTGCGTCTAGCTTTTTGTGATGCTGTGTGACAGGGGGAGAGGGTGGAGGGAGGAAGATAAAAATCTTCAAACAAGCATGACGTCAGTTATGAATGACTCCGAAATCCATAGTTATCCAAACGATAATGGGTGGTCTAGTTAAATCTAAAATAAAGTATTTAGTATTGGTAACGAGTTGGTGGTATAATTTTTGTGAATCGGATTGTTAAGGATTAAATCTAAAACTTATATTATTCAGCATAGATTACAAATTGATGTTATAGCTATGGTAAAGCGGACTTCTAGTGGCTAAATTCAGAAACTCTGAGCATTCAGTTTGGATTATAAATTGATGGGATAGTTTTGGTGAATTGAGATTGGCAAATGACGAAGTTGATGAGTGGGAGTGGATAGTTGACCAGGTAATGGTGTTGGGTTAGGCTTAGATTTGAGTGTACTGATATCAGGAAATGGATAGTATTGATACTTCTACACCTAACTATCCACTACACCAGATAAACACGTTCATATTCTGATTTTTTTAAAATTTAACTTGTGTTGATCATGAACGATTTAAAAATAGTTTTTAACACCTAACCGTTTTGCTTATTATATAGAAAATAGTTGTTGTTTTCTTGTAATATAAGACAATACACTGCTGTGAGAAGTCATAGATTTCATGTTGTGTTTTTGTATTTTCCAATAAAATGAAGTCACGTGATTTGATTATGTACAACTCTACCCCAACTTATAGTTTGATCTACTTCACAGGTGTGAGTTTTGGAATCATCTAGAGAAATGCAAGTGTCAATACAACACTACAATCAGTCATCGTTCACAAATTTGCTGGAACCACATGATGGAACCATTTTTGTGAACGATGACTGATTGTAGTGTTGTATTAAGAAAATTTCACTGTTTACCTAACAGACACCAAGAACTCATTAGACCATCATTTAAAGTACTAAAAACATTAGACGCTCACTTCAAGGACGCAGTGGTAGAATAGTGCATCGGCAACTTAAACGTTACTGTATTACATTAATAAGTAGTGAGGGAAGTTGTCCTATACTAACCCCAAACCCCATACTCGTGTGATACTCTATCTACGTGATCATCTGCCCACGTGATCATTTATCAGATTGATCCTATGTACACGTGCTTGATGCTTAATCCAAGTGATCATTTATCAAAGTGACCTGATACCAAAGTGATCCCACACCCAAGTGACCCTATACCCACGTGATCCTTCAGTCACATCGTGACAAACGTGATCCTGTATATACTGTTATAGAACTGACGTGATCCGTGACTCAACTGACCCTATGGAGTCACGCTGTGCTGTCGACACAAGACAAGGCAGCACCCAGCACCTCCCCCACCAGAGTAGCACCCAGCACCCCACCCCCCACAGAAGCACCCAGCACCTCACCCACCAGTGCTAATGGCCTTCAACCCTTTCATGTACCCCCACCACGCCGAACGTTACGGGATCGAACCCATGCTGGCACAGTCATACTTCTCGTCTCTCGGGACATTTTTCCCCGGGACCTACCCTGACGTCAGCGACCAATCAACGCTCTGTCAGCCATCTTTGTCCAAGATGGCCGACGTGAGACCGGAAATGGTCTCGCCGAACTCGTCACGCCATTTTCGTAGCCTTGAACTTGAGGACGACGGTGTGGCAGACGAACCGGAAGTGGAGCTGGAGGGCAGAGACTTGTGGGAGAAATTCCACGAATTCGAGTCTGAGATGGTTATCACAAAGTCAGGAAGGTAATTATACTTTTGGTGTTGTATTGTTCATTAGGTCATTGTAGGTCTTTCATTAGGTCATTGTCCTGTCAATTAGGTCTTTACGGAGCGTCGAGTAGCCAATGTTTATGGTCTAGTTGGTCATTGCATACGTTTATGCAATAGGTCACAGAGAAAAGATCATTTGGTCACCCTAAATTGTCAACTAGATCCTTGTAAATCCCGTTAGGTCACTTAGACAGCCAGTAGGTCATTAAAAACTGTCCAGTTAGACAGTAAGTCATTAAAAGCTGTCTAGTTACACAGTAGGTTATTAAAAACTGTCAAGTTAGACATCATTGACAATGACAACAGGCCTTCTTAAGTAAATTGTTTGTTTTGTTCTACGTTCTGATGCGTCCAATACAGACCATTGTGTATTGTTCTACACCTTAATATGTATACCACACAAAGCCGCATGCTTGAATTAGGGCCACGCCAAATACGTCTTCTTACATGGCACACATCATGTATGATGTAAGTCTAGCTTACATCACACGTCTAGATTACACCAGACACGCTTACTTCCCCTGCAATGGTCATAGTTGGGTCCATATCCATCCCTAGCGACATACACTATCCATCCCCCATCCACATACAAATAAACATCCTCGACAAAAGCGATCAAAAGAAGCCGTTTTTTTTTGTCTTAACTGATTTTAAAATACAGCAACCACGCTAGGTTGTCCTGTAAATGCTAGGTTGTCCTGTCCAGGCTAGGTTGTCCTGTCCAGGCTAGGTTGTCCTGTCCACGCTAGGTTGTCCTGTCCACGCTAGGTTGTCCTGTCCTCTGGGTGATGACAACATTTTAAGACCCCCCCCCCCCCTTTATATTATAGGGTTGGATGACCCTCTAACTCCTAACAAATTAAAACTCTCCCTTGTTACAGATAATGGGCTAACCCATAACCATATAGCTACTGTCTTGTCATACAACAATTGGGGGTGGAAGGATGGCTTAATTTGACAACAAAGGCTGCCTACAGCCTCAATATGTCCAGACCCCCCCCCCCCCCCTTAACAAATACCTTGTGTGTTAGACTCAGAGGAAAGTCCTCTCCCTTGTCTGGAGTAAGCCAGTGTGTAATTCCCCTTGTCCCCAGTCACGTGATGATAGACCCATCACCCATCATCCCCATCATCTAACCTGTCGTCATCACCATAGAGTAATTAAATACGCCTTGTTGTTGTTGAGCCCATCTTCAGCCCCCAACAACGCCCTCGTCTTTTGTTCACGTGACCCAGCAAGACGCACCCCCACGGGCGACGGGCGGACATTACCGGAAATTGACGAAACAACAACTCGCCCGAAGGTAGCGGCTGGAGCAGACGATTGGGCTGCCGGTTGCCGTGACACTGATACCTGTCGGCTGACGACAGACGACTCGTTAGGCAATAATCATTAGAAGACAATGTCGGGCAATAAATCAGAGAGTTAATTAAAGAAATCTTGAGGCGTGTGGTGGTGGTGGTGGTTGTGGTGGTGGTGGTGGTGGTGGTGGTGTCATTGGAGTCTAAAGTACAGATAGCTAGAAGCCTGGTTTATGGACAACCGCCATATTGCGATCCTATCATTGGATGAAATTGGTCGTTTGAACATCCATCGTAATATCCACGCGACTTGATCCATGCTAATGTCTAGACCACCAATTAAAATTTTTTATTTCAATATGAACCTTACCTAAGTCAAATTGTTTCAATATGGATCTCATCTTTCTAGTTCAAATTGTTTTAATATGGACATTACCTATCTAAGTCCAGTTATTTCGATACACACCTTATCTATATAAGTGCAGTTGTTTCAATATGGACCTTACCTAAGTCAAATTATTTCAATATGGACCTTACCTATGTCCATTTGTTTCAATATGGACCTCATCTTTCAATGTCAAATTGTTTCAATATGGACCTTACCTATCTAAGTCCAGTTGTTTCAATATGAACCTCACTAATCTTTCGATACGCACCATATCTACATAAGTGCAGTTGTTTCAAAATGAACCTTACCTATCTATGTCAAATTGTTTCAATATGAACCTTACAAATATAAGTGCAGTAGTTACAATACGCACCTTAATTAAGTCCTGTTGTTTAAATATGGACCTTCCAAATATAAGTGCAGTAGTTACAACACCACTTTACCTATAACCGACCCATTGTTTTCAAACATATTGATGTTATCATCACCATTGACCTTGACACTACAGTAGACAGATGAGTATCTAACTTTTCTTTGTGTCCGCATTAGGTCTCAATGTCTGACCCGCTAGACAATTATACAACCCTACACAACAGTACATCGCTTTGTATTGTTTTATTTTCCTTGTTTTGTCCAACAATGCTTTTGGTAAAAGTGCTTTTAACTTTCATTGTCTAGTCATCGGGGCATAACTATATTTGCTGATAGATTTTTTTTATTTCACGTGAAACGTTTAAGTATTTCTGTGTGGTATTGTGTGGTTTGTGTGGTTTGCAGATGGAGGTCGTATGCTAGAGCCCCGATGGTGGGGCCTCATGGTGAGCCCTGGGGGTGCTGTGTGTGTAGCAACCGGTGAACGGCAAAGGTCTCGCCTGAAAGTGTCCACAAAGATGCCATTAAGTCACCACGGGTTTTAATTCCACGCCCGCCGACTGCTGTAATTGCATGTTTTTGGTGCTCAGGTACCGAACCTGTAGAAATATTGACAGGGAAAAATTATTCTGGGAATTCTGAGCCGAAAGGAAATCATATTGTAGTCATGACGCAAGTGAATTGAATGAAAAGTTGGCTTTTAAGTTGAAAGAGAGATGCGAGGCTTTGAGACAACGCATGGGCGATCTCCGGGACGCTTGGCTGGTTCGCTGGGGAGTTTGTTGAGCTGTTCGTGGGCTTGGTTCTCGTTTGCTGTGGCACCAGAGGTGGGGTAGAGAGGGAGGGGGCTCTATGGGTACTGGAGGCACGGGATTGTCTAAGGAGGGAGGGAAGTAGGAGGGAGGGACGGAGTGACGGACGGACGTTGCAGATTTGAGATATACGGGTAGGTGGATACAGAAGTAGGGAAGAGTTGAGACCCTGATGCTCTGTAGGATAAAACGACGCCATCAAACCAAACACAGATCATCATCTGGTAGACGGGGTCTCTGGGCATCATGCCTTAGGGTCCCCCGGGGGGGGAGTCGACTGTTTCAACACGAGAAAGGCTGGGGGGGGGGGGAGAAGGACGGGGCGCTTAGCACGAAGTTAAAACAAAACATTGTGATGATCAAACACGTTGATTTCAATAACACCGTGGGCGGCCTGTGGGAGGTTGGTGAACTATCGCCAGGTAATTTGTTGACCTATGCCATGTTTCTTTGTATCTCAAACTCCCAGTAACATATCGTTATATCTAGCGGGTTACCGAACTCACGTGGGCCAATACGAACAAATCTCACGGGTCATCGCTCACTCACAGTCCGATTCTCACATGGGTCACCACCCATGTGTCACCACTCATGGGTCACCACTCATGGGTCACCACTCATGTGTCACTACTCATGTGTCACCAATCACCCCTCATGTGTCACCACTCACCAGTCACCACTCACGGGTCACGACTCATAGGTCACCACACATGGGTCACCACTCAAGTGTCAACCACTTATGGGTCACCACTCATAGGTCACCACTCAAGTGTCACCACTCATGGGTCACCACTCATGGGTCACCACTCATGGTTCACCACACACGGGTCACCACTCAGCCTCCGATGCCAACATGTCACCTGATCACACGTACATGAGCAGTCTACCATGGATCACTAACCCCAGTCCGCCATATTTGCTCTGGAATCGGAAGTACATTCTCGTTAAAATCATTCGATAACGACACTAATGCTTTTAATTCGAATTAATTAACGTTTTCATTAGACCGTTAATCCGCTTGAAGATTTATCCAAGGCCCGTAATCCCAGATAAACACGGGAGAAAACACTAGTGTTGGTTGAAGATTTGAGATAACCAACTAGGAACGAAGCCGTCGGCTTAGTTGGGTTTTGTTCCTACGCCGTTATCGCCGGGTGAAAACCTTGATCTCACTGACGACATTTTTTGTGTGTATGAGATGAAAATCGCCAAATGTTTTTCATCCCACGCTAAATCTGTTTAGTAATCACCAAAGCTGTTTGAATGCTGATACACGGTTTGTTTGAGGCAAGGGAGGTAAACACGACTGATATCAGGAACAACAACTCATTTTGAAGAACAAAAGAATGTAATTAGGTTCTGTTTGTAGGTGGTTTTGATGTGCTTGTTTGAATAGATACCAAAATGCCACGTGATCAATTACGTCACTTCCTATGTCGCTAATTTTTTTAGACAATTTTCCTCTTCAAATATGCTGCTAGCTTGTCAGATTTCTAGCACACCGTAAGATTTCCATCAATGGTTACAAATGTCTAACTCGGCATTGATGAGAATATCCATTATATAAGCCTTATTTCATGGATTACAATACAAGCTTTAGAACAGCAACTTGAATTGTTTATTGAAAATACACGGCAAATGGGTATAATGGTTGGTGACTTTCAACCACAAGGGCAGACTGTTTTAAATAAAAAAATACAAACCATGGTAACAGAAATGAATGAGATTGACAAACTTCGTACTCAAATTCTGGATGTACAAGTACCCCTTGAAGTATTTGACTATATTGATCAGGGTAGAAATCCTAACCTTTACGCCAAAGACTGCTTAGAAAAAGCTTTGGCCAAAAATGAGCAAGTAAAGGGGAAAACTGATAATTTGAAGAGGTTTAAAGCTATGCTGCTGCTTGAATTGTCTAAAGTGTTTCCATCTGAAATGGATATGTACAGAGCTTTAAAGCAAGGCAGGGGCCCAACATAAATTTCAAGCATTCAGAAATTATACTAATGTTTATAAAACTTGATATTTCCTGACAACAACCCTTGGAGATTTTCAGTGAAGTTACTTGACCAGAAGTTTTGAGTGAACATTCACTCCATAACGAACACACTATGGACTCTGGTATGGTTATTTCTCCTCAGGTCCCATGCACATTCTTTTCTTATTGTCAAATATTTACATTGCTTGTTCACACCAATGTGTAACTCAAGACTCAGTCAGTCCTCTAATTTGATATTTAATGAATACTTGTTTGTAAAGACCTGTTTTATTGAATTGTCATATACATTTCATATTTGGTTGAATGACTGTACAATTGAAAATAAATATATTAAATGTTAAAAAAAAAAAAAAAATGTTGTTTAAAAATCTAGCAAAGTTCAGTCATTATTTTTTTCCTGTCACGTCCGCGATGATATAGACAAACATAATAAGAATTAACTGTGGAGGGTTTTAATAAAAAAATAATAGTACAAGCACACACCCCGAACATTTTATTTGTTTGGACATGCCGCTATAAAGCGGCTGTTTTAAAAAGATTTTTTTTTCAGTACTTTAAAATGTTTAATACAATAGAGTTGCAAGACTAAAAACTATTGCGCACCAAATGAACATGTAAATCAGTGTTTCTTCCAGACTTTTTTCTCCGGGGGGGGGGGGGGGGGGGGGGGCACTTGAAATCTTCGGGGGGGGGGGGGGCGGTAAACTTTCTTCGGGGGGGGGGGGGGGGGGGCGGACACTGTTAAAAGTATATATTTTCTATATAAATTATATAAATTTCATTTCGTTCGGAGGGGCGGTAAAAATTTTTCGAAGAGATGCCTGGAAGAAACTCTGATGTAAAAGCGTGTGTAATAATGCGATAAATAGTAGCACCCCCCCCCACCTACTTTATTTAGTAAATTTTAAGAAAGTTATAAGGCATCCAATTAAGTTAAATTTGATGTCAGATTGCATTGTCACCGGGTCTTGACCCACGTGTCAAGTTTGAAGCGAATCGGTCAGTTAAAAGTGCTCGAAATTTCGTTCGGCAGTTTCGATATGACTCATTATACACCAACAGGGGAATGTAACATCTTATTATACACTACAGGCGAATGTTCCCTCCCTTCAAGGCGAAGATATCTGGACTTGACAAAAAGGCCAAGTATATTCTCTTGCTGGACATAGTTTGTGTGGACGATTGTAGGTAAGTCTGTTTGTTGGTAAGTCTGTTTGTATGTAAGTCTGTCTTCGGTTGTTGGTAAGTCTGTTTGTGGCTGTAAGTCTGTGGTTGTAGATAAATCTGTTTGTAAGTCTGTTTGTAGATGTAAGTTTGTTTTTGGTTGTTGGTAAGTCTGTGTTTGTTGGTAAGTCTGATTGTTACGAGATCACAAGTAAAATGATCACACGTAGCGAAAAAAAGTTAACGAAAAAAAAAAAACAACGAAAACACATTTAGTGAAAATATACGCAAAAACTCAATCAAATACAAGTTGCGAAAATACAATTTTAAAAAACAGAATAAACGAAAATACAACTAGCCAAATCTCCAATCATAAAAACACAACAAACAAAAACCTAATGACCGCAGGTACAAGTTCCATAATGGCAAGTGGATCGTGGCCGGCAAAGCTGACCCTGAGATGCCCAAACGGATGTACATCCACCCCGACTCCCCCTGCACGGGCGAGCAGTGGATGCAGAAGGTGGTCAGGTTTCACAAGCTCAAGCTGACCAACAACATCTCGGACAAGCACGGATTCGTAAGTTTTTTTTTTTTTAATTAGTAAATAGTTTAGTAATTGATTTGTTCGTTTATATTGTTTTTAACAGTAACTTGTTGGTTGAATTTTGGGAATAAACAGGTCTATATTTCAGAGCAGTTTCTGCTATGTAGCATGTGCCAATTTGTAAAGTAAAGATTCCATAGGGACCCACTGGGCTGATAAAGTTAGTTTATGTGTCCAAAACCTCGGCAGAAGAAGCGATGGTGTGGTCAGCACAATGCCCAGCCGCCTTGAGTTTCCCTTCAGGTACCAATCAGAACTTGGTAGACTCAGGGACGTCATACTGTCACAAGTCCGAAACGAGAACCGAACTCGAGACTTTCGGGCTAGCAGTCAAATATTGACTATTTAAAACAGGCAAATTTACAACACATACACACTCTCTCACACACACACTGCACAATATATATATATATGTATATATATATATATATATATATATATATATATATATATATATATATATATATATATATATATATATATATATATATATATATATATATTATGAGCATTGTTGGATGGCAAAGAATGTCAACTGACAGTAGACCGAGAAGCCCCCCCCCCCCCCCCCCCCCATTAACTCAGCCTGACCAGAGCATATAGCTGCCGTTACACCAAAACGTGAATTAATTGTATCAGAGTTATCGCCAGAGTAAAGTGTTCGGCCTAATCAGACCATCCCAACAAACAAACAACCGTGCTAGGCACCAACAACCCTTGTCGCTCCCCCAGAGCTGGTCGCCCCCACTCCCCCCGTGGACAGAAGCCATATTTTAACCCCATGCTAACGAATGACTGGGTCTGGAAGATTAACCCTTTGACCCCTGCAGGTGTTCGTCTCCCAGTTTTTCGCTCTACACTCGGCCAAACTTGTCGCGAATAAATCGCAGCCGTTACGCGATGCTGGTTAGATCCTGCACTAGTCATTAACCCTTTACAACCTAGAGCAAGTAAATTAACAACCCCACGTCGCGAAAGGGTTAACAGTTTAAGGCGAACACACATTTTTAACCCGAACAAATGTGGAAATGTGTGTGAATCCCGCGTACCATTAATAGCAATGTGTTGCTTCAGAACGATTTTTTGTTTGGTGAAATTGGGTGACAAATGGTTGGCTAAGTGCCTGAAGACAACACAGTTCCTCGACATAAAATATTCATTATTAAAGCTTTGGTACAGGTGTTTAATTGCGTTTAATTGCTTTTTTATAACTTCATCAGCAGGCAGATGTAAAAGCCGGAATAAAATATTTAGAACTGATAGTAACATTTCACAGAGGTCTAGATTTGAAGAAAAAAAAATCGGTTAACATTATTTTATCAATTAATGAATTTTCTTTGAAATCGAGGTTATTATTTATATGGCTCCAAGACTGTTGTCAAAGTTCCTATGGTCTAATATTGAACAATTAGTAAATACAGATTATGTTCTTAGTGTTGACTACCCTGAGAAATAAAGAAACGAAAGCTTGGTTTAAAAATAATGGCACCGTAAATGTTTAATGATTTGATTACATTTATTTTGCGGCCACAATTTTGTTTTTACAAATCAACAATATTTTTAAAAAAAACAGCTATGTCCAATCGAAATCGAGATTATACAAATTTAATACATTTTACTAACACCAAACGATGTTAAAAACAATAATATTTGATGAACCTTTCGAGAGCACCACCAACTTCTAAAATCCCCTTCCCGACTTTGTGCAATAGTCGATGGATCTGAACAGATCTGATCAGAATAAACTCCCATCAGCTGGACATGGCTTTGATCTCACAATCTCAGCACACCTCGCTATCAAAACAACAGAGAAAACTCACCCTGAAGTACCTTTAAACCCGTGTTACCGGAAGACTCCCCAGTGAGGGGTACCTTTACACCCATGTTGCGGGAAGACTCCTCCCCCCCCCATCCTCTGAGGGGTACCTTTACACCAGAGTTGACCTAAGAATCTGCCTTTACTCTGCAGACGATTCTGAATTCCATGCACAAGTACCAGCCCCGCCTCCATCTTGTACGAGCAGACGATATCCTGAAGATTCCCTACAGCCCGTTCAGGACGTTCGTCTTCAAGGAGACCGTCTTCATCGCAGTCACAGCTTACCAGAACGAGAAGGTGGGCTGGGCTGCTTTATAGGGGGGGGGGTCAGTCTAAAGGGGATATATAGGGGGGGGTCATCGCGGTCACAGCTTACCAGAACGAGAAGGTGGGCTGGGCTGCTTTATAGGGGGGGGGGGGTCAGTCTAAAGGGGATATATAGGGGGGGGGGTCATCGCAGTCACAGCTTACCAGAACGAGAAGGTGGGCTGGGCTGCTTTATAGGGGGGGGGGGTCAGTCTAAAGGGGATATATAGGGGGGGGGGGGTCATCGCAGTCACAGCTTACCAGAACGGAAGGTAAGCTGGGCAGCTTTATAGAGGGGGGGGGGGTCAGTCTAAAGGGGATATATAGGGGGGGGGGTCATCGCGGTCACAGCTTACCAGAACGGAAGGTAAGCTGGGCAGCTTTATAGAGGGGGGGGGGGCATATCTTAGGCGTCAGTCTAAAGGGGGATATATAGGGGGTAATAATTGTAGCGTCAGTCTAAAGGGGGATATATGGGGGAGGGCGGGTCTTACCTTAGGCGTCACTCTAAAGGGAGATATATGGGGGGTCATTCCATAGGCGTCAGCCTCAATTGGGATATATAGGGGGATTGGGGTCATACCTTAGGCATCAGTCTAAAAAGGGGTATTGGAGGTCATATTTGTAGCGTCAGTCTAAAGGGGGATATATAGGGAGTCGTTTCTTAGGCGTCGGTCTGAAGGGGGATATAGGGGCATACTTGTCGCGTCAACCTGAGTAGGTTAAACTGGTGAAAAAATATCGGGGGTTACTCAATAGAGGTCTATCTAGGTAGTCAATAAGATTTGTGGCTAACTAGAAAGTAAACTATAGAGGTAATCTTCACATTGTTTAATATGTATTGATCAAAGGCTGTTTTCGAATATTAACATTTTTATATTTTATACTGATTCTGTCGCTAGGTAACCCAGCTAAAAATAGACCATAACCCATTCGCCAAGGGTTTCCGGGACTCGTGTGGGGGAAAGCGAGAGAAAAAGTAAGTCTCGTTTTTTGGTGACTTCCCTTGGTTTTGTGGTGACGTCCCCTTGGTTTTGTGGTGTCGCCCCTTGGTTTTGTGGTGTCGCCCCCTTGGTTTTGTGGTGTCGCCCCCTTGGTTTTGTGGTGTCGTCCCTTGGTTTTGTGGTGTCGTCCCTTGGTTTTGTGGTGTCGCCCCCTTGGTTTTGTGGTGACTTCCCCCTTGTTTTGTGGTGTCGTCCCTTGGTTTTGTGGTGACGTCTCCCTGGTTTTGTGGTGACTTCCCCCTTGTTTTGTGGTGTCGTCCCTTGGTTTTGTGGTGACGTCTCCCTGGTTTTGTGGTGACTTCTCCCTTGTTTTGTGGTGTTGGTTTTGTGGTGACGTCCCCTTAATTTTGTGGTGACGTCCCCTTGGTTTTGTGGTGACGTCCCCTTGGTTTTGTGGCCATATTTAATGTTTATGTTATTGTTTTCATATGTTCGTAACCTCTCAGTTAATTTGCAAAACTCACTGACATGTCCAGTCATCAAAACACTGACATAACCACCCACAATGACACTGACAAAATACTAATTATGGCACTTGCTAGCTGACATTGGGGAATTGAAACACTTTCCTTAGAACAATGACAATATAACGTTTCTACTAAAATCATCACGATGTTGAATCCACTCCTAAATAAAATCATCACGATGTTGAATCCACCCCTAAATAAAATCATCACGATGTTGCCTGACATCACGATGTTGCCTGACATCACGATGTTGCCTGACATCACGATGTTGCCTGACATCACGATGTTGCCTGACATCACCATCTCACCTTGACTTTCAGACGGTTCACCATCAGCTCCTACTACGGCCGGGACCTGTCACGTGACACGACGGCACCAGCTACGTCACGACCCCCAGCCGCTGGTCAGTCAAACGTAACCAGCAACACGGCTGATGTGTCTGAAACTGGAAGTGACGTGGAGTCAGAGAACGACCTGAGTGACCCCACCAGTAAAGGTATATTTCTTTTCAAACGTGTGTACAGTTCTAATTATATAATAGAAATTTACATAAAAGTCAACTTGGGCGCAACGTGATCTAAAGCCAGCTAGACGTGAGCTGGCTGCAGCTAAAAGTTGGGTGCATTTGGCTAAATTTGAGCTCAGATTATGCTGACTTAGCCAAATAGTAACTAAGTGTAAGGTTAAATGTAAGCTAAATGTAAGCTAAATGTAAAATTACTTTCTTTATTCCTTTAACGCAGAATTGATTATAAAAAAAAAAATATCTAGCAACATGTTAAATATGAAAAGAGTCACTTCTGCTTGACGGCTGCAGTTTCTTTATTTTCGTCTTTTCTAGAAATTGTTTGCCGTGTTTCATTTCTTTTATGATTAGTTTCTCAACTTTATGGATAGGCTTTATCTAATGATAACCCAGTTATTATCATCACCCACCAATAATCAATACAAATACTGCAGTATGCATGTGATGTATTGTACATCAATACTTTTGCAATTTGTTCAAATCTTGTTAACTTGATGACTTCCATTTTCCAACTCTACACCCAGGCGATCCCTATACACAAACACATCACAGACAGAACTTTCAGAGTCCCATGGGAATGCCAACTGGAAGGTCGACAGATAAGACTAGTGTCACGTTACAGGAAACAGTTTTTGACAAGTCTAAAGACAAATCTTGTGACACGCTCACAGAAAAACCAAGTGACAAGTGTAAAGACAAATCGTATGATAAGTTTCAAGAAAATGACAAGAGTAAAGGTCGTCTGTTTGTTGGTGTGTCTGAAGATGACCATAAAAATGACGACGTGAAGGTTAATAAAGGAGGAGATAGAATCTCATTCAGAAAACGCCAGGAATCCCCTGACTCCACCACCCACAGAACCCACACATCTGCCCACACACACACCCACACGACTGTGACGTCATCATCGTCCGGCAGACTTCCGGTGGAGGAGATCAACACCAAACCACAGACGTCTCTATCGTTTCCGGTCAGCGCCATGTTGAACTCAAACTCTACTCTCCCCCATCCGAGCGGTACTCTCCCCCATCCCAGTGGCGCCGCTCCTCTCTCAAACTCCCAGCCACTCTCCAGCCAACGCTCCACCCTCAGGGAAACAGCCAACCCCCTACAGCAGATGTACAGAACAGCCAACCCGTTACAGCAGCTGTACAGAACAGCCAACCCCTTACAACAGCTTTACCTTCAAGCTGCCCAGATGGACTTTAGCCGGCATTTTTCCGGTCACCCCCAACTCGAGCCGGACTTCTCCTCCCTGCTGACCTCGCACCTCTCCCTCCTTAGCTCCCACTTTCTCCGACAGAGCCTCAACGCTTACGGCTCCCATCTGACGGACATGCCGCCATTTTATGACTCCCACGCCCAGAGCCGGCCCGTATACAGCTCCGACTACAGCTTGCATCACTTGCTAGCCCAACATTCGCCCTCGTCATCTGCCACGTCATCTACCACGTCATCATACACGTCACACGTGGAAGCTTCGAGATGCCGGAAGAGGAAACACACGATTCAGATGCTTCTGTCCCACAGGAGAAGTAGGTCAAGGTCTTCATCGAGGTCAAGGTCTGCGTCTCCGAGTACAGACGGAAATTAATGTATTCATTTGTTGATGTACGTACATTTTTAAATAAAAATACAATTAGTTGGGTAAACGACGCGCATTAAAATTTTGAAATAAAGTTTTAAAACACTCTTGAAATGTAAGATATGTAAGATATAATGTAAGATATAATTAAGTCTTAATTTTGGTATATTTCAATATTGTATAATTATCTTTAATATATTACTTTCCATGCATTGGTAAGATATGTCAATTATTTCACTGAGCTCGAATTCGGCTGTAATGAGTAGCCTACCTGGCATACGGAAGACAGGCTTGAAGAAGCATTAGCTCCACCATCTCCACATGAACATATTTGAACTTGTCATCATAGTTTTTAAGTTTTGGATCGACACTGTCTGTGTTGTGTATGTTGTGTATCTATGTTTCATAGATGGTTCTAGAAGATGACAGAGATTGGTTTAGGCTGTGTGAGGAATATTTTCTATAGGAAACGGACCCATATTTCATAGCTCTCCACGCAGTCACAATATTGCATTTTTGTTTATTTTGTTTTGTCACTTGTTTCAATAAAATAAAAAGTTTTAAGACATTTTATTTTATTTTATTTTACAGTCAGAGAAAGTATTTTGTTTTGTTCATTTAAGGTTTATACTTATAGATCTACACACACTTTATTCATGTTTTTGTGCAATATTTTGTTTCATTAATATCATCTTATACAAGAAGATTGTAAAATAAAAATGAAAATCTGTAAAGACGGAAGTCAGTTTATTAGTCATAAAGCTGACGTGATCGTTTGGAGAAGGTAACTTGAACAATTCTCAGAAATAAATTTTTGAATCTTTTCAATTTGGTTTTGTTTTTATTATTTATTTATAGTATGTTCCATAGATCATTTAATGAAGATGTTAAACGTAAATTTCTCACGTCAGCATTTTAAAGTCTACATATAAGAATATAAGTAGCGTGATCTTCAGTTACTGGTTACTGGTATTAGTACAGATTAGATATGCCGCTCACCTAGCCAATGTACAGCGATCGCTAGTCTAACACAAGATGTCAAATGTTCATGAACATAGACTATTTGTGTCTGATGCAAGACACATAGTATCGTACTTGTGAACAGCCTCCCCCCCCCACCCATCCTCACCCAAAACAGTATAAACAACGGGAATTCCCGCATCTCTAAACTTAGCTGGACCAAATTTGTCTCCAGCTGATCCAAGACATTTGTTGTTGTCACGTGACATGACACGTCAAGCCTGCCAACGCTGACCACCTCGGTCTGGTCAAGCGGTGCCATGGTCAGTGGTTAATGACGGGTCATCTTGACACCAGGGCGACTTATCACCGGTCATGTCGTCAGCCGGGCTCGATCTCCCGACCACAACTTGCAGGACTGGTCAGTTGCCTGTTTGAGACAAATGACCACACTCTCATTTTCAAGTCCAAAAAATTCATCCACTTTAAATAAAACTTATATATATATATATATATATATATATATATATATATATATATATATATATATATATATATATATATATATATAGTCCATGGTGCTACATAAGGTTAGACAAAGTACCAAACATGAATTATAACGATACCATATTACTGCTGGTGACGACAGTTTTGTACTAAGTCAGGTAACTAACAGTAAACTTACATTTTATCTCCCTATAACTACTGACGTCACAGATGACTACTTGACGACTTTTTGATCGCCCCGGGCTATAACCCGCCCCCCTCTCCCCTGCGTTACTCCCCAATCACCATTATTTGACACTTGATTTGATCTTCTGCTTCCATTTCTGTAGCTGATCCGCCATAAACAGGGCTTAGCTTAACGCCATTAAACCAGAATTCATTGCTTCTTCCTGTGAGGTCAGCTGGTTCACCGAGCTAAAAATAGCCTCGTTAATTCTTCTTTCAACGCGTTATTATAATCAACATTTGCATTGCAAGTCGTTGGCTTAAACTAGCGCGGGGGAGGTTGGGAGAGGAAGGGGCGTGGTTTAACACTTTTCCGTCTGCAACATCACCTACTAACTCGATTTTTATTTTTTTAAAGTGATGGGACATCCAGAAATACATCCCGAAATATACATCTGTTTTGTAAGGTTGTCGCTCAAACGGTCGTGAGAGAGACCCGACCCCCGGGCAGTACACGAGCTGGGGATCTTCGCTCCACGGGGGTGGTCCCGGGGAGAGTGTACCTGGTGACACTCACGACGGTGACCTACTTTAAAGTAGGTTAGTGGTCATGGGTTCTAAGCATGGCGAGGGCGGGGGTCTGAAAACGAGTAGCAAAATTTCGAAGGTGACATCCTTTTAAAAAATATATTAAAATAAAAGATTCAATCAGATGTGTAGTCCGCCATGTCTTCATTTCTTTACCAAGGATATCTTTCAGGTTTTTCCAGATTCAAATGAAATCAGTCTGAATCACTGGTCACTTGGACCCAACGAAATGAGTTTTATTTTAAAGGAGCACATAACCCAACTATCTCTCCCTCACAATAGCACACCACCAACCACTTTTTCAATGAACAATATATTGATATAAATAAATCTATAAATTCGATGAATTCTTAAATTTCATTTGTATTCCACAATATTCGATCCATTTATTTATTTTTATATTTTGTATATCCATTTATCCCCCCCCCCCCACCTTTAAGCTGTCGTAAGCATCATAACGAGCATCTTCTGATACACCTTTGAGAACCCTCGCACTGTAAAGGCTTGAGAAAAAACACCGAAACCTTTTTACCCCCAGAAAAAAAACGTAACGATCTGCGATATGACAAAAACTAGTCCCGTTAATCCAAGCGCCCCCGGGCCTCGCTAGCCTGCTGTAGGTCCCCAGCGATGGGGGGCCAAGATTAAAGTCCTACCTCCACTCGATGTAACGGTTCAGTCTCCTCGGAATTAATTGGAGACATTTCTTGCACCTGGGCTAATTGTTTTCAATGGGAAACGCAATTTCTTTAGGAAGACGTTCTGATGAGATCTTGGTTGATTAGTGAGTAATAATGGTCAGGATATATATATATATATATATATATATATATATATATATATATATATATATATATATATATATATATATATATATATATATATAAATATATGCGTGTGTGTGTATTTAATATTTATAGCTATGTATATTGAAGTATGCTATTTTTTGCAAAGTAAATTTCCGTATGGATCACAGTATACTTTGTCACAAAAAACAAGTAAGGTGTCAACAAGTCACAAGGCAACATCTCAATACTGTTGAGAAAAAGTTAATCAAGCGAAGAAAAAATGTCTTTAGTTTGTAATAAGGCTACGATTGTAGCGATGATGTCACACAGCGACGGCTTCTGAAGGTAAGTGATCGTCTGCTAGCGTCCACCTGGACACACGGCAGGTGAGCTGGCAGACGTCTTGTAGCAGGCGATTGAACAACGTCTTACGTCTTCACCGTCATCCGTCATCCGTCAAACGAAAACTTGTTTCGTCTGGCATATCCTGCATCCAACACTGACGTGTTAAACGTGTGGGCGTATAAATGTCCTGTATACAACCTGTCAATGTCCTGTATACAACCTGTCAATGTCCTGTATACAACCTGTCAATGTCCTGTATATGCCCATCAATGTCCTATATACGCCCATCAATGTCCTCTATACACCCATCAATGTCCTATATACGCCCATCAATGTCCTCTATACACCCATCAATGTCCTCTATACGCCCATCAATGTCCTCTATACACCCATCAATGTCCTCTATACACCCATCAATGTCCTCTATACAACCATCAATGTCCTCTATACAACCATCAATGTCCTCTATACATCCATCAACAACCCATCAAAGTCCTATATTAAACCCATCAATTGATTGACCAGCTATGCAAGCACCCAAAATGCCCTTGTCCTACCCTCTCTTTGTATCTTCAGTTCAACGATCAGAGCCTATATTTTAAACAATCCTAAGTCCAACAATACACATCACTCACTATTACATCACCCTTGTAACCCACCTCACACACCAACAAACACATGTGTTGAAGGTGACATATCACCACCATTTGACACCATTTCGTTCAAATGTTTGGTGATTTCAACAATTCACAGTATTTCCCAATTAGATGGTCAAAAGTCTACAGACAGTCTACAGGTTAATAAATAAAAGCATAGATGGGTGTATAGGTGTGTGTATGTGTTATAAGTTCAGGATTCTAAAATTAGAAGTTCACTGATTGGATGCAAGTATAGAGATGAAACTTCAGCATTCGAGTTTGAGAAAATGTATGGCTCAAATGGTCAGTGGTGCAGGTGAAGTAGAGTTCACCTGTTTCCATGACTTTGGGTAATGAATGAAATGATGTTCTGCAACAGGTAACCTCTATTTTCTCTAACGTGAGTCGGGTACAGCTACAGGTACCCACTATATCTAGGGACATATGTCAGGTACCCACTATATCTAGGGACATATGTCAGGTACCCACTGTATCTAGGGACATATGTCAGGTACCCACTGTATCTAGGGACATATGTCAGGTACCCACTATATCTAGGGACATATGTCAGGTACCCACTATATCTAGGGACATATGTCAGGTACCCACTATATCTAGGGACATATGTCAGGTACCCACTGTATCTAGGGACATATGTCAGGTACCCACTATATCTAGGGTCATATGTCAGTCAGGTACCCACTGTATCTAGGGTCATATGTCAGGTACCCACTATATCTAGGGACATATGTCAGGTACCCACTGTATCTAGGGACATATGTCAGGTACCCACTGTATCTAGGGACATATGTCAGGTACCCACTGTATCTAGGGACATATGTCAGGTACCCACTGTATCTAGGGACATATGTCAGGTACCCACTGTATCTAGGGACATATGTCAGGTACCCACTATATCTAGGGACATATGTCAGTTACCCACTATATCTAGGGACATATGTCAGGTACCCACTATATCTAGAGACACATGTTAGGTTAAAATACAGGTACTCACTAT